TAGAATTGTTCACATTAAATTTGATAGAATTGGGGAGTAGCTGTACAATATTCTAGGGATTCTTATTAGAGTCTGAAGTGCTATTTGGTGCCTTCATACCATGCAACGCTTTAGCTAATATTATGGGAAAGTATGTTTCTGTTTGTCAGTGTGATAATCAGACACAGGCTCAAGGAGGGTGTCAGCCAAGGAAACTGCATCTACTTCCTCCCAGCAGAATTGTGTGAACAATAAATACTCTCCTTCATTCTCTAACTCTTTAGTCATTTCTCTTGTCAAGACAGATTAACATGTGGTAAAATGATGGGCCACTGTTAGATTTAGTTCATCATCAGAGTCCAGAAATTTTAAAATTTCTCAGTAGGTAAATAAAGAAAACTATATGGTTACCTTTTCTAACTATCTCTTATTCCTTTTTTTTTTTTTTTTTTTGTCTTTTTCATTTTTACCGGTACCAGGGATCGAACTCACGACAGCCTGCTTGCAAGGCAGGCGCTTATGCCGCTGAGCTAAATCCCCAGCCCCCTCTTATTCTTATTTTAAACATTGCAATCTTACTACACTTATGATTACTCAGTAAATCTTTACGATAACAAATGTGAACAAGAAAGGCAAATGTAAAACTTAGAGGAGTTTTTCATATTTTACTATGTTTAATGGTAGACTAAAATTTTAGCACCAACAATTGATATTTTCTAAAAATGTAAAATTTGAGTGGGAAACCCTTGGCATAGATAATGTAAACACTGAGTGTGCACATTAAAGATGCTAACAAAACTCTCTTGGATTCTTGATAAAATATAAAATTGAGAATAAAGAGGTGATAAGGGCTTAAGATTCTTTAGAGAACATTTATTTAGTTGAGGACATGGAGTCTTTTTCCATGAAATGTATTAATAGTACAAAAGCCATGACAACTAATCTGTATTTTAAAGAAGACAATAAAAAAAATGAGATAAACAAGAGAAATGGTAAGGAACCATGAGATGGCACTTAAAGACAGTAAATGGAAGGGACCAACTTGGCTTGAGTTCATTTCTCTTCATTCTAGTTAAAATCAATCAACTGAGCACATTAATGAAATTTTATTTTACTGTCAATTTTGCATCTTATTGTGTGGTGAAGTCAATATTACAGCAAAAGTATATGCATCCCCAATTCTTAAGGAGTGTTTTGTCTGAATAGTTATTAAATCTATTCAACTACCAATTTGCCCCATTCTTATTTTTTTTCAATCTTAATATTTAAGTGTTTTCCTACAGATGTCTCAGTCAGTTCGAGCTGCTACAATATATATAACAGTTTGTATAGTACATGGTCAATATTTATTTCCCTGAGTTATAGAAGTGTGAAAGCCCAAGATTACTGGTGGGGTCCTTCCCTTGACTGGTCAGTGGAGGCCTTGGAACCAGGCATTCAAATGCTGGACAGAGAAACCTCCCTCTGGTGCCCCTCCTATAGAAGAACTAATTTTACCTGTGAAAGATTTGCTCACATGTTTACCACTCCCATTAAAAACTATGACATAGAGAATGAGGCCTTCAACATGATTTTGAGGATGACAAAAATTCTGGTTCCTTAAAAGTAGGGACGAGAGAACATTAAAAAAAACACAATGGGTGAGAGATTTTAATTAATGGCAGAGAAGACAACTTCCTGGTGTGGAAAGCCTTAGAACATCGAGGATGCATCAGCCTTCAGATATAATAAAGCATTCTGAGGGAGTTTAATGTATTTCATAAATCTAATACTTCTAGATTTAATTTTGATATTGAACTGACATATTAGAATTTAAAATTATTTCAGTGTCCTGAAAAAAGGAAGACGAAGTTTGTTTGCTCTCTGTTTCATAAAGTATGGTAAAAACTGAGATCAATAGTTTTGGAACCATTTACTTAGAGTAGACAAAGGAAAATCACTTTATATTCTAAGCACTAAATCTCAATATACATACACTTCAAATATGTACTGAGACGTTATTATGGACCAATGAAAGTACACAAAACACAAATATTAGTCTGTCTAAAGCAAATAATCTAAAAATATTAACCAGATGCCCCTTCCAAATGTTATTTCTTGCTCTGTATTACTTATTTTGAGAAAAGCAAAATATAATTTTAATGGACTGAAATTGAAGAAAAATGGGTAAATTATATTCTATATATCTATATGTATGACAGAATTTGGTCAAAAGTAAAATAATATTTCTGGGGATTTCTAAATAACATGTAAACAAATCAAGAAATTCAGGTTTATATAAAATAATCATAATTATGTGGAGAGTCACGAAGTCCTTCAAAAGGGATTACAAATAGAAAAATATAGGTAATACTCAATTAGATAACATGCAACTAGAATTTACAAAACTTTCATTGCTAAGAAGTAACTCTTCTAAATTCTTTTGACTGAGGTGAATCAAGAAAGTCTATATTAAAACGTGTATTTCTACATATAGCTAATACTATTTAATTCTGGCTTCTTACAGAAGCAGACTTAAAAATAGGAGTAGGCTAGAAGCACTTTGCCTGCTGTATCATGCCAAGAGGCATTGGCAGGAGACATCTAAGAGGCAGAGAAGGAAGCACAGTCAGTGTGGTTTAAGCAGATGCCACCGAGGTCGTGAAGCTCAGTCCTGAGACACACTGCCACCTTTCTTCATGCCAAGTGTGATTCTCATTCCTCAGTCCCATCTCTCTACTGGTTGCTGTCCTCATGGGGCATTACATTATTTCCACTTCTGGTTGAGGCTGTTTGTAGACGAGAATGTTTTTATAGCTAAATGATGCTCCCAGAGTCACAGAAAATGGGCTAAGAAGCTGCCTGCACTGTTAATTCTGCAAGACTTTAGTGTGACCACATCCAAGAAGTGCTTCTCAGTGTAGAGTACAGATATGGATCCAAATTAGTTTGAGGGATTTCCTTAGTAACAAATTATCATCATTGTAAAACACAGTTAACATATTCTGAATATGAATAATGACATTAACCTTGTTTGCTAATTGATGGTTTCTGCAACTAGGTGACAAATTATACAAGAGGCAATAATATGTACTTGAAAAATGTGAGGGAAAAATTTATGGTAAACTATTTGGAGATTTGGGAAAAGTCTACATAGAGTAGATGGGGGAGGGACAGTTACCTCGCCACCCTGATAGAGACACAGCACTGGGCGAATTGTGTCTCTTACCGTGAAAATTCATATGTTGACAGCTTCACACTCAACACCTCAGTATGTTATCTTAGAAAGGGTCAGAAAATATGTTAATGAAGTCATTACAGTGGGCTCCGAGTCAGTGTACCTAGAAGACTCACACAAAGGAGAACTGTATACACAAGACATACACGCAGGCAACCGTGACAGGCAGACAAAGGCACAGATACAGAAAGCAGTGACACTGAAGGGTGTCAGCGTGCTCTAGGAGACGGCAGGGACTGGCAGCGGGTTCTTGCAGCCCTTCACAGGAATGAACCGTGTGAGCACCTTAACCTCAGACTTATACCCTACACAATCGTGAGAGAAAGAATTTCTACTGTTGAAGCCAGCCAAACACTGACATTTTGTTATGGCAACCTTAACAAACTAGTGCACATACCAAAGAAAACACAAACTGAATTTTAGCTACAGATATCTAATACCATAGACAAACTTGACTAGAATAGCCAATTAAGCATGTGACTCCTATTAAGTTAATTTGTGTTTGAACTGATGTTGCAATTCTTTTGTATTTATTTTTGTGTCACTATGAGTGAACATTAACTACAGGAAATAAATATTAAAAAATTACCATTATTCATTTTATTTAACTGACACAAGATACAACCTATGGGCTAAAGTAAAATGTTTTAATAATGTATAAATAATTAATGATCAAATTATGGTGTTTAGAATATCCATAGCTTGATATATAATTTCAATAAATTTAACATTTCAGGAAAAAAGCTTAAATAATTGATGATTAGTCACTGAGATTATTTTCTTTAAGTGGTTTTCACTTAAAGAAAATTTGAAGAGAGCCAGGGATTTAGCGCAATAGTATAAGCACCTTCCTGACAAGCACGAGGTTGTGAGTTCGATCCCAGTACCAAGAAAAAAATTAAAGAAATTTACATTTGGCATTGTTTTCTTATTGTTATGAGTCAACCAATGAGATTCAGAATTCAGAAATTCAATGAGTCCAGCTAAGTGATGCTATTACAGAAATTTAGCATGTTGTACTTCTGTTAGTGATGGCAGTGGAACTTGATGTCACCAAAATTTCACTGATATAGGAAGAATTAAGAAGGAAAATCAGAAGTTCAAAATAATTTTGCTACAGACTTGAATTTCTTCTTGAATTAATACCTACACTAAGAAAAGATTTCTCCTTTAGTATCCTTTATATTATAATCCTTTTAGAAATGATATAATTTTAAACAATAAAGAAAATTTATTTATCAAACCAAAAAGCTATAAGGAAGGTAGAAAGACAGGATGGTTCTACTTTATTGGAAGCTTTTTTATTTATTTATTTATTTATTATTATTATTATTATTATTATTATTTGTCTTTTTCCTTTTTATGGGTACCGGGGAATGAACTCACAACCGCACACTTGCAAGGCAGGCACTTATGCCGCTGAGCTAAATCTCCAGCCCCTGGAAGCTTAATTTTATTGCTTATTTTTGTCCATAATACTCTAGGGAACTTTATTTTTTTTTCCTCTTGGCCAATTAAATTTACCCCTTCTAAATTATTTAGAAATCTAAACATGAAATAGTTGCAGTACAATCCTTAAACTTACTTTTTGATTTAAGACAATTGTGGTAAAACACTGAAGTATTTGAGCTCCCTGTGTTCCACTGAGGTATCTGGAAATAGAAATCTACATTTTCTCATCTTTATTTTTGTGAAGCTGTTTTTATTTATTTGTTGTTGCTGTTGTTGTTGTTGTCTTTCCTCAAAATGCCTTACTCAGCCAGAAAAGGTATACAAGAGAAATTGTTTAAAATTTGGTTCTTAGCCCAGCATGATGGTACACTCCCATAACCCTACAAGAGGCGGAGGCAAGAGGATCACTGCAAGTTCAAGACAAACATTGGCTACAAAGTGAATCCAAGGCCAGCCTGACCTGCACAGCAAACCCTCTCTCAAAAGACAAAAATAAATAAATAAATAAAAATAAAACTTTGTTCTTTTGAAACTGCCTACCTCTAACTGCCTCATGACTTTGTAAGGATTTTCTTGAGCTCTGTAACCAGGAGTACTTAACTAAACATACAGGATGCTTGATTGTACCGTTTACCAAGCTTCATAAACTGATGATTATTGATCTATCCTTGTAGCAGATGATCTCACCTTACTTACTAATCAGAAAAACTACCAGGCTGTTCTGTCTCACCTTTGGTTCCTCCTGCTTGTGCACTGTGTAAAAGCCCTAGACCACCAGAGATCAGGGCTGGGTATTCTGGGAAGGATCTTGATCAATGCCCATTGACTTAAATAAATCAGCCTCCAAACTCTGGGTGTTGTTTTAGTGTTTCTACTTGCAGTTGCATTATCTATACAACTAAAATGTATGGGAGATGGAAACGTCTGGACGAGTGGGTCTCATTTTGAACACTTGAGACAGATTAATCTATTCATAGAACTAAGTTCTGTGGCTAGGATCTGTATACAAATGTTGTCTTTGATGCTTAATTTTATGTATCAACTTGAGTAGGTTTCTGGCAACCACATGTTTAAGCAAACATTGGTATTGATTGAGACAGTTTTGGATTTTGAAGTCCAGGCCAACCTGGAACTTGCTATGCAGCCCAGGCTAGCCTCACCCTCATGATTCAGCTGTCCCAGGCTTTGAGTGGTGGGACTGAGTGGTGAGAGCTACATACAGTGAGAATATTTTCTGTTTCCATTACTGAACAGAAAAGATTGGTGGAATATAAATTTATTCAGCTTATGGTCCTGGAAATGCAAAGTATGTGGGCTGCATCTCAGGAGGGCATTTTTGGTAGTAGGTACTATAGAGTCCTATGGCTATGGTGGACAGAATAAGCTTTTCCTGATTTCTCTTTGTCTCTTTATAATGCCATTAATGCAAACATCAGAGCCACTCCCACATGACCTCATCTAATTCTATTTCTGCCCAAAGATTCCACCTTCAAATACTATCTTGAATGACTTTTGGCATTAAACTGCCAATACATGACATTTGTGGGGCAAACTGAATCCATAAAATACTGAGTCAGCTTCTGCTTCTCCCTCCAGCTGCTACCTCTTATAGATTCAGACTCCTCTGGCTCTATAATTGCATGAGCAAATACCTTAAAATAAATCTCTCTCTCTCTCTCTCTCTCTCTCTCTCTTTATATATATATATATACATATATATATGTATATATATATATATATATTCATATATGTATATACCAGAATTCATATACAGATAACCCCCTGATTAACATGTACCTGTTCTAATTACTTTGATTGGTTTAATTCAGGGTGGAAATGATATTCCTGGTCCACCTTGAATCAGGTAGTAGCTTTGGGTCACTTTATAGTAAGAGTAGACAGTGGGATCTAAAACAGCAATTCCCGTATGATTATTTGATCATACCATTAAAGCAAAAATTTCCTTAACCTAAAAACAAATTTTGAGTGCTGAGTAATTCATAGCTTGCTGTGTCTAGTACAAAAGTACAAAGGAAAGGAAAAACAAAGTTTAGAAAAGAAACTTTTCTCCCTAAATGAAAAAAAAAAAAAACAGTTTAATTCGTTCTATTTTATGTATAAGTAACATACGCTGAAACTTAGTTAAACTTGTTATTTTTAAAGTACATCACTGATTGGCTTTATTCATCCACTATTTCTCAAAAACACTTGTGACATAATTTATTCACATTATTGAGTTTAATCTATATCTTCCATTTTATACTATAAATTATATATATATTATGTAATATATACTGTTCAAGCAGTTTCTTAATTAGATTGAATTTAATTTAAACAGTAATTATATCACAATCTGCTTAAAACCAAATAAATATTTAAGTTTGCTATAGTTTTTGGCATCACAACTTTATTTTACAGCTGAATAATTATGATTTATAATTCTTAGTACATGTTTGCAGCCTGATATATCAAATGAATGCCAGTATATTATAGTCAAGAGTTTGCAAGGGAAACAATTTAACACAAGAAACAATGTATAGGGTTATTTTATAGTAGTCACCCAAAGAATCAAACACAAAGTAGTTCAGGAAATCTGTATATGCATTAGAGACCTAAAGAATCCACCTGAGGGCCTGAATCCCAGTGTAGTATCCTGCATGAGTCCAGCTGGAGGAGCAGAACCCACAACAGGATACCAGACAAGTCTGTATCAAGAGTCTGCACTGGTACTGCCCAAAGGCCAGTGGTGCAAGACAGAAAGTCTGTGCCAGCAGGCTGAGGGATCTGCACTGGAGCTTGGAAGTCATGCTCAAAGCAAAGGCCAGAGGTCCCCTGAAAAGTATAGTTATCCTCACAACAGCAAGGTGCTGAGAGCTCCTCCAATGATGAAAACAGCTCAGTCCATATCAGGAAAGCCAGCACAACAAGCTTCTCCAGGAGAACGAGCAGCACCACCTCTTTCTCTCCAGTGTCCCTTTGTGTGCTGTTGGCAGCAATCCTCGGGTGAGCCTTCCACACCCAGCTCCCCCTAATTCAGTTCACCTGGTGTTACAAGTTGCCCACCAGTTGCCAATTCACTACACCGTGCAAAACAGATTCATGTCTTACCCTTGATTACACTGCAAGTGCTTTGATATAGATTTTTATTAAAAAACTATTTAACTGTATGAGTATGTGATCAATTCTGGATAATATATAGCTTTCTTTGAAGAAAGAAAATCGCTGAATTTCATTGTATACTCTTTCTTACATGTAGCATTCAGTGGAAGAGCAGTGTTTTACTCTTTTTTTAAATTATAATTATTATTGAGAATTCTCACATATCATTTAGCTTCAAACATAAAGGGCTGCTATTTTGACAAAGCTTTACTAATATATTTATTTTATGAAGAATAAAATAAAGGTACAGTTATTGAGTTCGAATGTATAGAGAGTTGGAAGGAACCTCCCTGTTCTTGAGGTCGAGACTGCATGAATGTTGTATTGCTGACTGCTACCCACTAATTGTCATGAGAAAATGGGAAATTGCTAAATATCTTCCTCAGTAAAATACCATGGGAAAGGAAAAGAAATTTTTATCTTGCAGATAAATGAAATACATTTTTATTCCACTACAAATGCTATTTTAAGAAAAATATCAATATTTGGGGCAGCTGGTGTTTCATTTGTTCACAGAATACCCATTCCACTTTCTCAATCACAATCAGTACCTTTTCCCTCTACTTACAAAGCTTCACTAAACTAAGACAGTTAATATATCCATTTCATCAATCTGAAAAATTAAATCTGCAAGCACAACTCAGTTGTTTACACTTTAAAAATGCATAACTTTAGCTGTGTTTTTAATATCAAACTTGCAGATGATTATTCTAATGTGTATTTTTTTTTTCTTTGAATCAAAATCTTCCTCAGGTAAATTCTTAATCACTGTGACAAGTTCAAGGTACTTGTTTTAAATCTATGCTTTACCTTACTTTCTTTAAAAGTGCTTTAATATAAATAATCATGAATGCTCTGCAGTTCATAAAATGCAACCCTAAACTAACATTTAGGTTTGTTCTTTGCTCTCTCAAAGACATTTCATTTTCAAATATTATTTTGGGTTTGCCTCCCTGTTTTTGATTTAGCATCTGATTTACTTAAACAATTACCATCAGCTCAGCTGCTCAGCACTACAGAATATATTGCCTTCATATTGTCACACTCCCATTGTTATTCCTGGTGCTCACGACAAATGATCCTTCAAGTACTACAGCAGAATAAGAGCAAAAGGTGCAAATGAACTGCTTCCAGGGCCATTCAATCTCCATATTGATTGAAACCCCAGGGACATCGTTAATTGTTATGAAAACAGAACGTAAGTGGGTTTCTTTATTTGTTGGTTGATTTGTTTTAAATCTATTTATTCTTGTGTTCCTTATTCATTTCCCTTGATGTTATTGGTTTTTATTTTCAAATTATTTTGTTTCAGAGAATTGGACAGCAAAAAGAATGTTTTTTGCTTTTAAGGCAAATATTGAAAAAGAGCTACCATTTTAGAATACAGGTCCTCTCACATAAAATATATGACTTTGCAAGATGTTTTATGGAAAATCTATTAATTTGATGCTATCGTGAGCACTGCCAATCAATACAGTATCATGTCTGTTTAGGCCTGTTTTCCATATTTTTGCAGATTTTTCTTATTTTCATTTTATTTTATTTTATTGTCACTTATTTAACCAGCTTGGCTATAGTTCTATTGTTGTTTCTTATTAGATATGCTTGTTTTGCTTAAATGTTTAATTAGATTTTAATATTAATTAAAATAATAGAAATTTCATCCAGCTAGCCTCCTTGCTTCTGATAATTTGGGATAATGGAGAAAACATCTCTGTTAAAATGAAAGACAGAAATTTTAAATTGTTTAGCTTTGAAAATTTATAATCCATGGTTAAGTGTAGAGAGATGAATTCTTTGGAAGCATTAACCTAAATGGACCCTGATTTATAAGATGTTTGGTACAAGTGCCACCTGTGGCACAATTTTTTTTAAGTACATACAAAAATAAAAAAAATTAAAAATTCAGTTAAGACACTGTACAAAAAAAAAGCCACCTAAAACAATAGAGAATTTGAAGGGACTTCAATGCACAATGTTTGCATCTGCTATACAAATGTCCAAGATGTTAGATCTCATCTCATTCATTAACTAAACTTAGGCCACTCCAAGGTCACTATGACCTTGAGCAAGGCAGTTCTCTGCTGCTTGGTGTATAACCTAGACAAAGATTACAGTCAATTCTCTGCCTCACTCCCAGGATATTGTTACCGATTTCATGATGAAGGAAGCTGTGAAACAATGTGAAAATTAACTTTACAGACCTAAAATAATTTTAGTTTCTTCAAGGTCAGAATATCTCAGATGACCCAAGTATTCTTAGAAAAAAATGAACTTGCAGCAAAAATAGAATTTTAGTACTATTACCACACTGGTATATAAAAATATTATTTATTCAATAAATATTTTTGCATGTTTATTACAATGTCAGAA